TGGGCGAAGCTCATAAGAAGGGATGTTGCCCATGAATCGGAAAAAGATGTAGAATTCCCAAGAAGCTCTCAAGTATGTTTTCAGAGACATCAAATGACAAGGTAAAAGATCAAAGTGGTCTTTGTAAACACAAAAAATTGACGGGCTAAGAGGTTACAGTAAGCCGGGCCCGGCCACTGGAGGCAGAGAACAAGGAGCTCAATTGACTCGAAGCAAGTGAGCAACTCACATAGCAACTGGTAAGAATGTTGAGGACGGTCTTTCTGAAATCGGGGGAACCAGCACCATCAGCGGATTTGCCGGACCGCGCAGCAGGTGCAGCGGGAATGGCAGGCCGAGCAGCAGGAGCGGTTTGAGCGGTTGTTTGAGCAGCGGGAACGGCGGTCCGAGCATCGAGAACGGCGGTCCGAGCAGCAGGAACAGCAGTTTGAGGAGCCGGTTGAGCAGCGGTTCTGTGCACTGGAGTAGCAACTTGCTGTACAAGTCCGGCCATCAACTTGATATTAATTTATTTTGAATCCTTTAAATCTCAGCAGCGGATTCATCCCTAAGACTAGGGCGACTTGAAATTTGGGTTCAAGAAGCTCGACGAGGTATGATAGACGCGTGGTGATGGGATTGAATGAAAACTATGCGGCGTGCATGTTGAGAACGGGCAGACCTGGCGACTTCAGTCAAAACAAGCATGGTGTCAGGGAAGGAGGAAGAGGCACGGTAGAAATTGAATGCTCAAGAGATGATGGACGTGGGCCGATTCGTCCTAGGCAATAAATGCGTTCTTCGAGTCAGGAGTTTCTCGATGAATGAGTCGAGATGACTTGATCCACTGGAGCAGAGCTTGTCAGAAATCACAGCAGCGGATTCTTCCCGAAGACTACGGCGACTTGAAATTCGGGTTCAAGAAGCTCGACGAGGTATGATAGACGCGCGGTGATGAGATTGAATGAAAACTATGCAGCGTGCATGTCGAGAACGGGCAGACCTGGCGACTTCAGTTAAAACAAACATGGTGTCAGGGAAGGAAGAAGAGGCACGTTAGAAATTGAATGCTCATGAGATGATGAACGTGGACCGATTCGTCTTGACGCCTAGGCAGTAAACGCGGTTCAAGAAGCACACCCGATGACTGGAATCAAGCGCAAGACGCGAATCATTATCAGATCCATGTAGTAGAAGTGTGATTTTTAAATATGTTTACATGAGAGATGGATGAAGTGCGAAGAGCACCGGAGGGAAGTGAGTAGAAGAGGGTCGACGACTTGGAAACTTCGATGCGGATGGGATGGCGCAACAGATATAAAGCATCTGGGGGTTCGCTAGCTTGATTGCAAAGGAGAAAAGGATGACCGGGGTAGAGCTTGGTCAAGTCGAACCTCAATGGATTGGCAAGTGATGAGGATGTCGAAAATGAGAGGACGGCAACCCGGTCGAGAGGGGATAGACTCAGAGGGTATGCGAAGGGAAGGAATTAAATAGTTTTGATCAAAAGTGATTGGGCGGGATAGGGAAGAATGCAACGGAGGGTCACTGGATGCTACGAGTTGATTAAGGGCCCACGCTAGAAGCTTTGTAGATCAGGAATCAGGCGGTTGCATGGTCTCTTCTCGAAGAACAACACAGCTTTTTTTTGGTGATGTGGTGAAGTAAGTGAGCAGGCGAAGAAGGGAAGAACGCTTTGGGTGCCTTTTATAGTGCTAGGAAAGGCAAGGAACGAAGTTGACCACCAAAAAAAACCAGGGCGATTCATGCTACCGCTCACGGATGGCAAACAGCCAGACAAAGTGGGGATGGCAGGAACGAGATGGCGAGCTGAGTTGGTAGAAGGCTAATAAGTTTAGATTATGCCAACTGAACGAGATGGCTGGTGAAAGCAACACTAGGGTGATTTGTATCGTCAGTGCAGGTACAAAGTATCCAGCTAGGTTGAGATCAATCCATCCGCATGTTCAAATACATGAGAGCCATTAGGTGTTGGACTTGGTTGTGTTTGAGCGAGATGACCACCTTCAACCTCGTGATGTTTGGGCTGACTCAAATTCAGAAGCATCCGTTTAACTGCTTGCCATGTCCTCCCTCTGTGTCTCCTATGGTCAGCCTTTGTTAATGCCACCTTGAAGTTTTATCCTGAGTTTGTCAGGTTTGGCCTAGGCGGGCCCGAGAGCAATATTGTTGCCGTTGGTGGTCTCCCAAGCGCTCCGAGTTTGGTCATTAATGGCAGAGATCAATGGCCGGTTTCCATCCTCTCCTTGTCCCTGAGATCAGACTCTATCGTGATCCAGCATGCGGGGACTTGAATTCGAGAGCAGAGTTAAGGGTGACGTCACAGCTCATTGAATTTGCGTTTTGGGATTATGTAAGCTCATCCTTCGGGGGTCACCGATAGGTGGTTGTTGTATGTAGCATGACGTCATCGCCGCTGCTGGACTTCGATGACCCTCTTGCCTCGCAGAGCAGGTCAACTTGGTCAACAACATTCTTCTTGCCATCCGATTCGTGAACTCCAAGCTCATCGACTCAGCTGAACAACACATGGCTGCGACCCCGATTAGCTTATGGGCACCCAGCCCTGACACTGGCGAAAGAGGAACGGCCATCAAGCTCGACTCCAACGGAAAGGGCTCGATCGTCTATGCCGCCGGAAGGTCGATTTTCATTAAGAATCTTGATACTCTGGAATCCGTGTCTTACTCAGGACATGTCCGACCGACCACTGTTGCCAAATTCGCACCCTCCGGGTTCTACGTAGCATCCGGTGATTCGGCTGGTAGTGTAAGAGTCTGGGATATAGCAGGCGACGAGCAGATCTTGAAGGTGGAAGTGTAAGCCTGGTTCCCTTTGCACGATCCGGTCTGGCCTGTCGAACTTAAGAAAGAATATCCTCATGGCCTCAAGAAAAGCTATCTCGGGAAAAATCAATGACCTTGCTTGGGATGCCGAAAACGGGGGGAAACGTATTGTAGCTGTTGGCGAAGGAAGGGAGCGTTTTGGTCATGCGTGAGTACTGCTTTTATAGCTTTTGAAGTACGTTTGTGAACTGATTTTTTTTCTCTTAACTGCAGATTTACCATAGATGGTGGGAATTCCGTAGGTGAAATTGCCGGTCATTCAAAAACTATTACGAGTGTTTGCGTCCGTTCAGCCAGACCGTTCCGGGCAGTGTGAGTACTTCTACATCCCTTAACCGCCATACTGCTCATCAATTCCAATCTGTGATAATTTGACGGTTTCTCTTTGGGACGTATTCCTGATTCATCCAGTACAGGGAGCGATGATACAACCCTAGTGTGGGTCTTCACCTGCTTGACTTGATTTATACAAAAGACACATCGTCCATGCTCGGCTTATTGAATGCAGAATCTACTATCGCGCCATGCCTTTTTTTCAGCTTCTTCAATGGTACACCATACAAGTTCTCAAAGACGATTCGTACCCATTCGAGATTCGTTCAAACAGTTGAATATGCCAAAGACGGTTCCTTGTTCGCATCTGGAGGCTCTGACTCCAAGCTTTTTATCTACGATGGCTCCACGGGGGATACTATCTGTCAACTTGGTGGAGAAGATGCGGCCGAGAAACACACCGGGACCGTGTACTCGATTGGCTGGTCTAAGGCACATCCGTCGACGCTTGCTTCTTTCTCAGCGGATGGGAGGGTTATGAGGTGGGATGCATCGACCCAAAAACACGTAGGGTAATGCGTTCTCCCTTTTAAAATTGATTGGAAAAGAGTTAAGAGCCACGCGCTCATCGACCAACTCGACGCTCGATTGAAAGAACGTGGAAATTAGCAGATTCACCCAGTCCGGAGCAGCAATTAATTGGAGGGACATGGCTCGAAGGTAATCGACTAGTCTCGCTAGCTTATAATGGCGATCTCACCATTCTTGACGATAGACAGTCTGAACCTGTCAAAAAGATTTATGCAAGTATCAATATTCACCATCACGACTTCATTCAACATATTCTAATACCGCTTTTCATCTTTGATTTCAGTCTTGTCAAAAAGGCATCATCGCGGCTGCGAAATGTCCCAAAAGCTCGGGGATATTTGCCGGTGATCACTCCGGGAGAGTCTTCCACTACTCGAATGAAGGTGTCTGCAAGCCGGTCGGAGGATCAGCATCATCGAAAATTATAGGCTTATCTACTTCGCAAAACAAAGTGTTTTCGATCAGCATGGATGATTCTGTGAGGGAAATAGATCCTTCAGAAGCTGCTTACAAGTACTCCTTTATGCTCTTTCTTTCTCTTTGATTTCATCATCAATGTTTGAAAGTCACGACTGACTGGAATTACTTGACTCGTTTAGTACCAATGTTGCAGTTCCTTTACCAGCACAAGGAAAAGATCTCTGCGCCCGTTCAACTGACAACGTTATCCTAGTCATCACAGCAAATGAAGCTAGGTTGATTGAATCCGGCAATTCTTTAACCACGATACCTCTCGATTATAATGCAACCGCTTGCGCAATATCTCCAAAATTCGCGGCCATTGGTGCAGCTGTATGTTTTTTGTGCAAGTTTCTTGTTTGACCTCGCCGAAGGAAAGTGAGCCTGATACTGTGCGCGATCCGTTAAAATCTGCCCTGGCGATTGTAGGACGGGAAAGTGTACGTTTACGATGCGAGTTCGAAAACACTGAAATCCTCAGTAACTTTATCCAAGAACATTTCTTCGGTGACGTGCATGGCTATCAGTCCAGATGAGAAACTTCTTGCAGTGGGAGAACAAAACGGGAAGATCATGATCTATGAACTATCTGGAGAATACCCAGTAAAAATTTCTCAGTGGTGCTGGCATACGGCTAGAATCATGAGCTTCGATTGGTCTGCTTGTTCGGCTTTCTTAGCCTCCTCATCCTTAGACACGAATATCTATGTTTGGAGTGTCGCCAAACCAACCAAAAACATCCCAATTAAGGTATGTGCATTTACGTTTTCTTTTGTCTGTCAAAACTGCCTCAAGCTAACATCATAAACTATCAGAACGCGCACGTGGGCGGAACAACGGAAGTTATTTGGGAGGCTGAAGGCAAATTGTTATCTTGTGGATCCGACGGGGCCATCCGAAAGTTTTCAATCAAGTTAGACAGTCTCACATGAATAATGATAACAAAATCAGTCCACTCATCACTTGGGTGTGATTCGAAAAATAAAGAGAAGTCGTTCTTTATCTTCTACACCACTGCGCCAAACCATGGCATAACAGTGATTGGTGCACCTTCTTCTTTCTTAGTAGTGTGTATACATAGAGATGTACCCTTGAAGGTTATCTCGCATGGTTTCATGGGGAGATCACCAAAATTGACATGAGTTGTTGTGCTGATTCAGGCTGCTGAACAAGAGCTGAAAATCCAAGAGATGTTGAGCCAAAGGAGAATTTGATGGGTTTTCGAGAAGGGAGCTGTAGATTTCATAGGCTTTGTTACAGAGATTCACAGATTCCGGGGACCGATTGGGCTTCCAAGTCTGGCAGCCCAGTAGATATTTTTGATGGGATCTGTGACATAGCACTCCAAATAGTACCTGCGGTGGTTGCAGGTTGTTGGTGTTGATGTTCATGTGGTTAAGAAACTTGATTTAGAACTTGTGCGCTGGAATTGCGTTTATAATTCAGTGCTTGGTGTTGAATGAATCAGTTATGCTTAACTTGTCAGTGATGATTTGTCTCTAATGTTTATGTTGTACATAGAAATGCTTGCACAGCTTGTATCAAGTACACCTCAACAATAGAATTCACATTCAATGGACAGCATCCCATTGTCATTGACAAGGGGGCTGAGAAGCCAAAAAAGGGGGGATGTCACTTGGTTTGGATGCTCGACAGCTTAAGGTGATGAGCAAAGTTCTGTGTAGTGCCAGCTTGGAAAGACTTGAACTTGGGAGCTGCTTCTTTAATCCTGTTTGTCTGTTAATTGGTTGATTCAATCCTATACCCGCTGTTTGAAAATTGTGGCCTTTTTCAGAGCACAGTTATACATTCATTTACCTTTCAAGAATTTGGGAGAGAAACGTGAATTAAAAAAGAAACATGACAACAGGATCCATTTTCTGAGAGGAAAATACATGACAAATACAACATATGATTGAACATAAACTGTAATCAATGAGGCTTCAGTTTGGAATGTTGACTCATCATCACCCCTGTCGATACTAAACAGACTATAGTATAGTCTATGTAATACATCTGTCTAGGCTCTCTTACAGGATGTCCTCACATCTCGCTTTGTCTCGCTCGCGGCCGGTCAATCTCGGTGGCCCCCCGGGGGGTTTTTTTTTCATAGCTGGCCGGATGCACCAGCTCAGCCGGGCCGGGAAGAACAAGCTAGGCAAAGCCATATGTCCGATCGACTCATCCCAGCCATCAGTAACCTCGATCGTTGCTCAATCAGACAGCATCGACCTACACCATCGAACTCTAGCCTCAGTAGCCTCAATCGTTGCTTGTTTGTCGTTGTCTTCGACTCAACCCTCAGTAACCTCGATCATTACTGGATCTTTGCTCGTTTGTCGTTGTCTTTGACTCAACCCCTCCACCTTTCACAGCGTCGGTCAACGTCACATCCATACTGTACTTGTCCATCCAAGGTCAGCTTTGATTCCCCTCCGCGAAGTTTCATGGAATGCTATCTGAAGAGCCAATGCGGCGCTGGCTCTCATGCTGGTTACGGACACCAAAACTCTGCAAATCCAGGCGGTTACGGGATTGGCAAGCAATATGAAAGCGCATCCGGAAGGCTGAATCAATCGGACCGAAACGAAGGATATTCAAAGACCTCCTCGAGGCCTAACGAAGAAAACTATGGCAGTGCGACTCACCAGCAGAATCCACAATCAAGTGGTCATTCTGGAGATCAAACTGGGGCTTACTCACATGATGCTGAGCGAAAAGATCGAGACAAATACCCTCATGGTCATTCACAATCTCGAGTCTCGTCGGCCAATGTGGAGCATGGACGCGACAGCTACCCCCGAGATACTGAAAGTTTTGGCATGTCGCACCAACCAACCCCGGATCAAAATTCAGGCAGCTACCAGATGCCTTCTCATTGATATGAGAGTACTAACCCGGTGACTCATCTCAAATGTCTTCAGTTACTCAAGAGTTTGATCTGAGCCTTGGGTTGTCTTTGAAAAGTTCACAACCGAAAAAACAAAAGCCTAAAGTTTCTAGGCAGTTCTAAATGCTTGAAGACTGGATGTATAGCTGAAATTGAATATGTGAAAAAAATCATAGTTAATTTTTGATAAAGTTTTATTGTGATTTCTTTTTTTGCTTGTGATAATTGATCTGGAGCTTAGTCTATCATGTTCATAAAAACTGATAACATTGCAAGCAGTCATTGAAAGCCTCAAGATTTCTTCAGATCAATCAAATTCAAACAAGGGGAGGGGTGAGCCAGTTTTGGATTCTGATCAGACTGCTTCTAAAGAATCAGTTTGAAGGAAACTGAGGTTAGTCCCTGTTTGGACATTTCTTTGATCCAGAGGAATTCTTTCAGAAACAAAAACTGGAGGCTGTAAGATCTGGGAAACAACCAAATGGAGCCAAGAATTAAAGGGAACACTCAAGATGTTGGATGCTGCACTTGAGAGTCATTTCCAATTAAACCATGCTGACAAAGGATATATGGGCCTGGATGTTAGAAGGATCACAGTATCTTGCTGGCCCAGATTAAGATCAATTGTCAATGCATCTTGTAATTGGTTCAAGCATTTGGCTACTTGACATAATATCATGGCGGCTGTCTCACTAGGACTTGAATCTCAATCCGGTTGGGAAAATATCACTGAAAATTAGATTGATGATAGAGTGTGAAATGTTTCTCCTGCATTCTTGGTTTGCATGGCAATAGACTTTGGGTGTGAAGTTATTTATGAGCAAGCACAATTTTTTGGTTTCTAATTAGGAGGTTAGAAAAACAACAACTTCACCCCTGTTGATAGTATACAGATTATAGTATAGTCTGTTTACTAGGTGTGGCTAGGCTCTTCTACATTTTCTGAGAATTATTTGAAGACTTACACTCATTTAATTTGAAATTGTCCCTTTTTGTTTCTTGAATGATAGTGAATTTATCAAGGTTAATGTTGAAATGACATATGGCCATATGTGCATGTGGTGGAAGGGGTATGTGTGAGCCAGATGGATGGTATCAAAGCAGTTCTTCTTTGTCCATGATGTTTATGAAAAAACAATCCATACTTTGGAATTAAGAAAGAGGTTAAGTAATGGTGAAATGAGAGTTGGTCATTGGAGTATGTGTGTTTGCAATCTACCACAGATCTCAGTTACCATGTGGTGGAAGGGGTATGTGTGGGCTAGATGGATGGTCCCAAAGCAGGTATTCTTTGTCTGTGATTTTCATGAACAAAGAATCCATACTTTGCAATCAAGAAAAAGGGGTAATGGCAATATGAGAATTGGTCACTGAGATATGTGTGTCTGCAATCTACAATATTTTTCAGTAACCATGTGGTGGAAGGGGTATGTGTGGGCTAGATTGATGGTTCCAAAGCAGGAATCATTTTTATAATAATGTTCATGGACAAAGAATACCTGCTTTGGAAGCATTAAATTTGAGTAATTTTGAAATGAGAGATGACCACTGAAATATGTGTTTCCAATGTACCACATACTCCAATGAAAAATTCTCATTTCACCATTAATTCACCTTTTTTCTTGATTCCAATACATGGATTCCTTTGTTTATAAACATTATGGAAAAAGAATACCTGCTTTGGAACCAACCATCTAGCCCACACATACCCCTTCCACCACATGGTAACTGAAATCTGTGGTAGATTGCAAACACACATACTCCAATGATCAACTCTCATTTCACCATTACTTAACCTCTTTCTTGATTCCAAAGTATGGATTGTTTTTTCATAAACATCATGGACAAAGAATAACTGCTTTGGAACCATCCATCTAGCTCACATACCCGTTTCACCACATGGTCACTGGAGAGTGTGCCATACTGCAAACACTCATATTTTAGTGGTCATTTCTCATTTCAGCATTACTTAAAATTTCTAAAGGCTTCCAAAACAGGTATTCTTTTGTCTGTCTAGTCTCAAACCCAAAGGATATAAACCCATTTGAAAAAAGTAATAAATCAAAATAAATCAAACAAAGCCCTGACAAAGCCTTGGGTCCTGAAGCTGATCCTGGTACTTTGGTCTTATCCAACCAGCCCCCAGGCGGCAAAAAGTTAGTTAATAAAACAAGAATATTTGAGAAGCTTAGACACAATGATTGGATATCTGAAGTTGACATTAAAGCTTGATGGGAGAAAAAAAACAGGTTGTCACGCTTTCATTGCTCCATCTATCAATTTTTTTGGGGCAATTGTTGAATTTGCAGGAATAAATTTTCCAGCCAACCAAGACAGATATAAAAGTACAAGAATTTTTGAAATAAAAAAAACTCAAGATTGTTATCAATTCAGCAGCTATCTCAAAATTTCAAATGACAATAGAGAAATGATTAAATCAAGTAAGTAAGGAACCAAGCTTTGGAATGATTTTGAGAGTCAAAGGTATGATTGCCAGGGGTAACAGGATGATAAAGAGATAAGATCGGAACCGGATTTGATTCGTTGGGTGATTCCAGTTAATTGGACACTCGAGACCAAAGGTTCTTCTTCTTCTTGTATAGGTAGTCCTCGTTGATCCACATGCCAATCGACCTTCCTGAAGAGTTTCAAGAGCTATTTGAGGTCACAGCCAATATTACCCGCAGATTGAGCCATGTGATTGAGTTGATGAGAAGCGCTCTGAGTGAACAAAGTCAATTGCTTAGTATCGATCTCTCAATTTCTTGAAGAACAGTCGCGAGAGTTTGAGGAGTGAGGTGACTGTTTTAGCCAGTTGGATCACTGGTTGGCTGGGAGGATTGTCATGAAATGGGTCCAATTCGGGCGCGAGAGAAAGCCGATGTGCGGTGGTGTTTGGTGGCGAATTGGTCGGGCTGATGAGCTTGCTGAGGGTATCATTCATCCCAGTCCAGAATATTGAATTCCGATCCCTTTAGCCATCTGATCGTCGATCCGATTCCGTCCCAGGTTGAAACTGCATAGAGGGTGATCGCTATTCTGGTGGCATCTATCTCGACAGGAACTCGTAGGGCTCAGTTGAGAGCTCCAGCTGTTTGATAAGCTCATAGCCGTGTGCCCTGGAGGCCGGGCTGGCGAGTGATCGGTCAGATTTGAAAAAAAAAACCCCCGGGGGGCACCGAGCTTGACCGCTGCGAACCGAGATAAATCGAGATACGTGAACATCCTGTAAGAAAGCCTAGCCGTCGATAGTACACAGACTATACTACAGTCTGTATACCATCGACAGGGGTGCTCATCATTGATTGACAGGCTCAATGACAAGTGTATCCAATTACAATTCATGATTGGTGCTTGCAAGTGGAGGCTCATTTTTTCAACGACCTCTCGCCTGAAGAGCCGTTAAGCTAGCTGTTATTTCCATCGAATCCAGATGTATTCACTCAAGGAACCAACAAAATTTGTGCTGGATGTTGAACTTTAGAGAAGCTAAGTCACAGGTTGCTATCCAGTGAAGCTGCGACATTCAATTGTCGTTGTTGGTTCAGCGCGTTTCAAATTGTCCTGATAAATTAGTCAATGTCTAGTTTACAAATCCTCTGGCCAACTCATGAAGGAGTGAGGAGGAGTGAGAAATAAGTAGAACAATTCAATACAAAAAAAATCTCGCTGCGATTAGAGAATGTGTGTAATAAATCATGACGGAGGAGAATCATCGGAAGGGTGATAAGCATCCACTTTCAGATCGATTTCGGAGAGGATTCCTTAGGATGCGAGGGAAAAGTGGTTTAATAAAAGGTGTTAAGTCTGAAGCCACACTGCGCGAAGAGTTCCATATCGAGATCCTTGCCGGAATTTCGGACTTCTGACTTCAAGTCAGCTTTCCCAGCCTTGAGGAAAGACACCATCGCATTGATGCTGGTGGACGAACCTCGGAAAGTGTCTATGGATGTATGGTAAATAGTTTAGGCTTAGGTTCTTATCAGCGTGGAGAAGAAAGGGCATTTTTTTACTTACTTGAACAGCCTTTCAGCATAGATGGATGGGCTTTCAACGTTTTTAGAAGAGGTTGGAACTCGACCAATATCTTGACGAAGCCGCTTGCCATTTTCGACTGATAGTTTGTCGCCCCAAAAATTCGTAAGCAATGTAAGAACGAACTGGCTGTAAGTGCCTCTGAAAGACAGTGGTAAGAGCTCACCGGAGATTTCCTGTTTTGATTGTATGTCTTTGAGCAGCTGTTGGCCAGGCCTTGGAAAGACTTTTGGAAACCAGCAAATGTCGCAACGACAGACTTCAAGTCATTTTCCTTGCATGCACGCTCCAATGGACCATAAGCATTTCGAATTTCGCCATGGATGTCACTAAATTCAGACTTTAACGCCGTAGCGCTGTGAGCGCTATTGACAGAACGTGGTCTCAAATTGGTAGATGATGGTGAATCGCCATTGGAATTGGGGAAGACACCTTGGACGAGTACTAAAGGCACGTTCGCAGGATTTGTTTGGAAATTTGGGGAAACATTTCTCAACGATGACCGGTCCAAGGCTGGCGATTATAGCTAAAAACTCACATGAAGCCAGAGATAAAGCGATGAGAAGCCTGATAAACATTGTGGGTGGAAGTTATATTGAAGGGTGGTGGTGATAGTGTTGGATCTGCTTGCGACAGAATTGATTATGAAAATATCTGGTGATAGGAAAACTGGGAAAGCGCCAAAGAATGTGTTGGGGTACTGGACCAAATCTCACGAGTCCTTTTTAGCCATTGGAAATCGCACTTCGACTTTTCCTCCTTCTTCCGGTTTTGCAAGATTAATTTTCTGGACGCTGGCAACATTCAGCTTGGACCTGTGGAGAGTACTTCCAATTCAGCGGAACTTCTCCACTTTGGGAGCAAAAATAGTCTACCCACCTACCCCATGGCGGTAAGGGATACGGGACCAAGACCAATAGATGCCGCGCTCGGCTTCCGTGCGACTCCAGGGCCTCTCTTTCCAGTCGCGCAGATCCTGAATAACATACACAGCTAGCCGCTACGACTCACGAGGCGGACTTCCGCCTTCTTAAGCCAGTCTCCGTTTATTCCATCCTCTAGTTTGAGAAGTAATTCAACCCGTCCTTTGGCTCTGGGGAGCAGGGATTCTTCTGTGAATGAGTTGCCAGTATTTGTCCAGTCCATGCGCCCACATCTGCGTCACCAAGCTGCAGGAGGGAGCGGCGACGCCAATTGATAGTGTCATTGTCAATTTGCAGGGCCAACAAAATCTATCTGGCTCTGGTAATCCGGTGTGTCTCAAAACAGCTTCGATTTTCCGTGTGGGTTCCCCATGTTATGACGAAGATCTTTCAAGTTCTATTGTGAAGGCATTCTGCACTAAAGTGTGCAATCGACACTAGAAGAGCAGGACCTAGGAAACCACTATCAGAAGTGGGCAACCAGTACCTAGGGATTTTTTTGAACAAAACACCTATTAATGGTAGTGTACACTAACCAAAAGTATATTTGTCTCTTTTTCCTTTGCGGTTACCCAACTATGATGGATGAGTATTTGACATTGATCAGCTTATTCTCTTGCTGGTCTTGTAGGTAAAACACCTAGAAACAGCAAAAAACACCTTTGGTGCCATACCTGAGGTAAAGTGCAACAGAAAGAGAAAGATGAATTACCCCCCCCCCCCCCCTCCCCCGTCACCAATTGTAATAAGATGAATTGAAATGGATGAGCTCAGAGTTTTCAGAAAGAAATCAAACGCAATTGTTGTTATGTTGAGGGAAGAATCAAACTGGGTGACCGCGCCAGGGTAATCAAAAAGGAACAGCAAGCGTAAACTGCAGTGAGAACTGTCTTGCAAAGCATTGAATTAATTAAACCCGAAAATGCCCATGAACTTGCTCCGCTGGGTGTACCTTACAGCACCACCGCGTCCTGGCTCAATCATAATGGCAAAACCATGACACATTGACCGGGCCGCGGGGGCCGGTGGTTGTCCCGGAGAAGTGCCTTGTAGCGAACACACTGCGGATGTTCCAAGATCTTGAGTTGCAAAATTTACATGGCCATCGCCACTGTTTGGTCAAGGCTGTGAAAGCAGTAGTTAGACAGCTCTTATTGTCAATCCTGCGTCTGAGGTGCAGAACCGAAATGGACACAGCACTTCAAGCAAGATCAAAAAGTTTGATCAGGTGGTTTATTCAGAATTGACGAGATTTGGCGCTAAGGTTTGAACATGTGGCAATCGTTGGCGGCTAGTGCCGGTGAGTGGGGGTGGACACTATTCCCTTATAATTAGCTTTTTGAGGATTCCAGTGACACCGATGCTCTCAACTACATAGCGAGAAATGAAATAGCAAGGTTGTGTGAGAATTAGTATCAATATATTCATCTATACTGTGAAATGCTATGGCAGCTTCCGGCACATCGACGCAAATTTTAGCAAGAGCGGGACCCTCCCGACGGGGATAAGCTAGAGTCTACTCAAATGCCCCAGACGTTACATGCGTTCTTGCCCTTGAGACTCCAGAGATTTGATTCATAGAGACCAATCAATGTCAACTGTATGTAGTTCAGAAGTGACCGATAGCTAGAAGAATTGACTAGATGTTGTCTGAAGGGCTTGGGACTCGCCTTTTGTTGGTTTATGTAGGATTTTGGATTGTTTATGGCACTTCAGGGAAACCGACATGGGAATATGATTCTGTGGATCATTTGCTAGACATCACGGACAATCATGCCCCCAGCATCAACGACGTTCTTGGTAACAACTTGAAGCCACCCTTGAAAGATTCTGATCAAGCAAATGAAGCAAGAGACGTCATAGACTACATTCCAGATATTAGGGACCATGGTTCTTTGACCACACCAGTTGTGGAACAAACAGTCATGGAGTCTGGATCCAGCCAATACGATCAACTATCAATAAGTATTCCTGAGCCTTACCAAATTGGTTCATCACAAAACTTGGACCACCATCCCTGCAGTAAATCCAAAAAACGTTCTCCACTACACCATCAATCTTCAGTAGACCTTGACAGCCTTTCAAAACCATCATACCTAACAAATCCTGAGATTATTTCCAATCCCACATCAAATAAAAGGGCCAAAAACTTTCACCCCCCAATTTTGACTGATAAAATTCCACCTGCAATCAAAGCTAAATCCTATCATCTTGTGGAAACCAGTGAAATACATGCCAACAATAAAATTCATCACAATTCCCTGTGTGAAAACAGACTGGGAAGAGGTATGGCAGAAGGGGATCTGATCAGTGGCAATTGGATGTGGCAAGGCTGGGATGGTAGTTTAGAAATCCCTCTAGAATCCAGAGTTATGTTCAATCCTGCTTATATTCCTAGAAGACTGACAAAGTCTGGAAAATCTTTTGAACATAGCTGTAGCTCATCAACTGAGAATGAATCAAACAAAATGTTAATTTCCACTGGAACACACTCAAAAAATAAACTTTATCACAATCATATGGCCAATGAAAAAAATGAAAAAGATTTATCAAAAGGAGATTTCATTGAATGTGGATTAACTCACTGCAAATTTTGGAATGATGTAGGAGTGTCTTCACACATATCCATCAAGAAAATCAGCACATCACCAAAAATAATTGTCAAGAAATCCATTGACATCCTCAGGTTTGATATGACTGCCTTTGATTCACTTGGAAAATCACAATCAACAAGAGACCAGTGCAGAGTAGCTTCAATGATTGAATTTATTGATTCAATAGAACCTAGAAGTAATGAGCTCTATATTCCAGCAGGAGATCCAGAAAATGTTCCAAATATTCTAGCAGATATTACTCTTACAAACTTCTGCATTCTGATGAACCAAGAGAGAAATTTCCAGAAAAAAGAAATCAAGATTTCAGGAGAATTAGAAGGAAAGAAATTGAATGACAAAAATAAAATTCAAAATGATTCAGTGAAGGAGTTGATTTCTAACAAAACAAATTGGTTCAGGTTTTGGAAGGAAAGGGCCAACATTCACATTTCAGATGAAAGATATCCAAACTACATCCAGCTTGCATTTGAAAAAAGCCGCACTTGCTTACTATTTTATGTTGATATAATTGGGGTAATCCTCCGTGAATATCATATGTATGATTTGAATGATCACAAAGATGTAAATCAAAATCTACTTCAAAAAGCATTTGAAATGACTGCAGAATACTCTCCCAAAAGTATAGGGAAATCAAAATCACCAGGAACTAATTACTTGGATAAGCCTAAAAAGAAACTTGTAAGATTGGAAAGGGTATGGAATTGGATTGGAATTTTTATCAAACAATTGGATAATGAAGCATTGAAAAAGATATTTTTTTCAGATGGTATCTCAAACAAAATTCCAAAGCAAACCCAAGTTTTCTTCAATCATGTTTTTTATCACTCAATTCAGAATTTGAATAGAAGACTATGTGATTATTATGACCACATAGATAATTGCAAATCAGATATCAATCATTCTCCTGAATGTTCAAATCAAAGCATCATATACTCTCTTGGTCCTCAGCAATGCTAAATTCAATTTGCAATTTATCTGACAAATAAAGTTGAAAAAACCCTCTTTACACCATCAATTGTGGGTCTTTACTTTACAGATATCAGTAAAGTTGAGCTATCACAGATTTATTTTCCAATACGTGTACAGGTAGTTATGGTATCTGTAACACATGACTCATTATGGTAGAAGTTTCTCTCAGTTTTCTCTTTTTCTTGCTATTACTGTATTGGGAAAAGATTTCTTTTTGATCAATTAATGTTACAACAAGGTTCAGTTTCAATTTTTCAAAGGTGCCAATGACTTGACTATTATAGAGTAAAGTCCAAGAGGAAAATCATTTCTTGGAAATCTGGACCAGGCTGGTCAATAAATAACTTCCGAGCCTTTGCAAAGTATTCTGTCAGACAAACCACCTCATGGAGTCACATGAGGCTGCTTGCACAATGTGATATAGCTGATGGAATCAAGCAACCATGTTTGGTTCTTCACCCATTGGCCCTAACCAGCAATGGGCCAGTTACTCTAACCATTGTGTTAGTGCAGCTTAGCATAGCAGAACTCTGCTGAAAAATAGCTTAGTGTAGCAGAATTCTGCCATGTATGTGCTAACACTATGTGTGCAGGCCCCAAAAAAGGGCCAGCTATGCTATGCTAACACACCAGGTAGCGGTTTTTTGGCCCCGCAGTGGCTGTTAGCAGCTTGTAGTGCAGTATAGCATAGCAAAAATGCACTGACATTGCACTAAAACTACCAGATTTCCACACAAAAAAACTGCCGCTAAACTAATGCTTTTTGGGTAAAAAGTGTACCGGCCCATCCCTGTTTTAACTGAGGTGCAAGGTTGGGCCCTGTGGATGTAAAATAAGAATTTCACAGTGGCTCTTAGCCACAAAGGATGTGTACATCTTTGCAGATAAATTTTAACACTGTAAATAGATTCTCCTTGTTCCATCAGAGTCAAAATTGCACCCATTTCCATATTTATCAAACACATGTATTTTTTAAAAAAAAAAAACAATGCTTCCCCCGTTCAGATATTCCATGGCTTTTCAATAATGGGAATATAAGTCTAGAAGGCTAAACCTGCAATTTCTTTAGATTTGGATCATCATTTTCCACATTATTTAGACTTTGACCTGGGCTGAGATTGAGAATGTCATCCTGCAGTTCAAACCAAAAAAAAAGCATGGAAAAGATTTGGAAGTTGAAAGCCATGTTTTGGTCACAAAGATTGAAGAGAAACCATTTCATTTTTGCTCCTGTTTTCTCTGCTTGCTGTGGGTTTGATTTATTAGACAAACCCTTTCTATAAAATCTTATTTTTGAAAGATATTTCTTTTTATACATATAGGCCTTGTTTGGACATAGGCCTTGTTTGGACAACACTGTTATACATTATAAATTCTCACATTTAGCACAGGATTGTGTTGTATCAATATATAACCTGTAATTTCTTTAGATTTGGATCATCATTTTCCACATTATTTAGACTTTGACCTGGGCTGAGATTGAGAATGTCATCCTGCAGTTCAAACCAAAAAAAAGCATGGAAAAGATTTGGAAGTTGAAAGCCATGTTTTGGTCACAAAGATTGAAGAGAAACCATTTCATTTTTGCTCCTGTTTTCTCTGCTTGCTGTGGGTTTGATTTATTAGACAAACCCTTTCTATAAAATCTTATTTTTGAAAGATGTTTCTTTTTATACATATAGGCCTTGTTTGGACATAGGCCTTGTGTGGACATAGGCCTTGTTTGGACATAGGCCTTGTTTGGACAACACTGTTATACATTATAAATTCTCACATTTAGCACAGGATTGTGTTGTATCAATATATATACATCATACAATTTGGAATTGAACTTCAAAACTTAAAATGTATAATGATATGTCCAAATGGTCCATAATCTGTTTTCTGAGTGAAACTCTACATCAGATCTAATTATGAAAGCTGTGAATGAGGGTGATGAATATAAGCCACATTGATGTACAGTGCCCTCCCAGATGTATATAGCCAATTTGTTTGGATTACACAACCCTAACCTACCAACTTGCAATCATGAGACTTGAGCAAGTGGTATAAAAGAGGTTTCAAAAAATGATTCTGAAAAAAAAATTATGAAAAACCAATTTTCAAAATTTTCAAAAAATATTACAATTATTGCATTTTTTTTCAAGGGCCTTAATAAAAAAACCCGGTTTTTCCGCATTTTGACACAGTTTTGCTGTGGCACAGCGCACGCGGTATCCGTGTTTAAACACGGTTTTGTAATTAATTTTTTATGGCTTATTTTTTTAGTTTCTTTGTATTTTTAAAATTGTTTCCTATGTTTCAAAGCGTGTAGAATTTCATGGTAAAAACCATTTTCCAAAAAAGTGAATTTTAATTATTATTATTTTTGGGGATTAATAAAGGTACCCGGGTTTTTCGCGTTTAAACCCGGTTTCGCCGTAATCTCAACGTCTCCGCCGTACCCGCTTTATTGCGTTGAAACCCGGTTCCTGGCCACCTTTTCCAAGGGTTTTCAGAACATTTAAAATGTTCCAAAAACCATTTTAAATCAAAAAAAATAATTCCTATGTGTCTAAAACATAGGAATTTTAATATTTTATTTTTATTTTAATTTTCATAGCCGGTTCTGATAAACCCGCTTACCCGCGTTTACACCTGGTTTTTTTTTTCTTTTGTGCGCTGCGTGCCACAGGTTCCCCCGGTTGGAAAGCCTCATATGATCTTCTCGGTCATGGAGGAGTGAACACCTCCATGAACATGGAGTTTTACTCGGTCATGGAGGGGTGGAAACCTCCATGACCAAGGTGTATTACTTGCTCATAGAGGGTTTAAAACCTCCATGACCGAGTCAAACACCTCGGTCATGGAGGTTTCCACCCCTCCATGAGCAAGGAATCTCCCTCGGTCATGGAGGATTGAACACCTCCATGACCGAGGTGATTTATTGTGTCATGGAGGTGTTCAATCCTCCATGATTGAACATTGTTTTTCTTGGTCATGGAGGATTGAACATTGTTTTTCTCAGTCATGGAGGTAGGCAGATTCCTTGGTCATGGAGGATTGAACACCTCCATGGCCAAGGTGTTTTACAGGGTCATGGAGGTGTTTTACTCCCCTCGGTCATGGGGGATTGAACACCTCCATGACCAAGGTCCTTCACCCAAAGTTGAACCTGTGTCATCTAATTATGTAATCAAACCAATCCGGGTGTAAACACGGAAAACCGGGATTTTCAAAACCGGGTGGAAAATTAAAATCAAATTTAGACATTTTTAGGGGACTGGATTATTAAAACTGGCATTTTAGATTATTTTAAAAATTACCCTTGGACTCCAAATCCCCATGAAAAAGGAGAAATGAAACCGAGTTCATATGCGGAAAACTGGTTTTGGGGAACCAGGTTTAAACACGGAAAACCCGGGTACATTTATTGATCCCCTTATTTTTTTTTTCACTCATTTCTCAATTAATTGTTTGCATACATGTTTGTACCTTATTTTTCATGTTTTTTTGAAATTTTAAATTTATTTCCTAAGTTTTAATAGTGGGTATCAAATATAACCAAATCCACCATCATTTAATTGACTGGTTTGAAAAAATCCACCCTTCTTTAAACATGTTGGTTCTTCATTTAACCCCTTTTGGGGCCCATTGAAGCAAGAAATTTTTTTGAGAAAAGTGACTGGTTTCTCATGGTGGATTTCCTATATTTGATACCCCCTAATGTGTGTAGAATTTAATGGTATAATCCAATTTCCATAAAATCCAACGGTTCATTTTTAATAATGAAATACAAATTTTATTTGAATGCAAAATGAATACAGCCATCAACTTCAAAACCTTTCAAAGTGTAGGAAATTAACTTTAAATTCCAAAAATAAGGATAATTAAGTGTGTAAGACTTAATTAAAAAAACAGGTCAAAGGCGTTATTCAAGGTACAGTTTTTATTTTTATTTTCAAAGTGAATGTTACCATAATTTTAAACATGTCTGAAAGTGTAGGAAACAAATTTAAAATGTCAAAAAATAATGAAAATTAAGCTCTTAAAAATCAATTGAAAAATATGACTAATTACAGTATTCAGCATGAACCGTTGAGTTTTATGGAAATTGGATGTTACCATTAAATTCTAACCACTTTCAAATGTAGGAAGCAACCTTAAAATTTCAAAAAAGGGTAAAAAACAAGGTAAAAAAATTAATGCAAACAATTGGGTGAAAAGGTGAAGAATTAAGTAAAAAGAATGCTGTCAAATGCAGTATTCAAGATTTAGTTTTCATTTTGATGCAAAATGAATTTTTACATAATTTTTTACATGTCTTAAAGTGTGGAAAAAAATTTAAAATGTCAAAAAAGAATGAAAATTAACCTGTAGAAATTTAAGTGAAAAAATGGGTCTAATTTCAGTATTACAAAAGGAACCGTTGAGTTTTAAAAAATTGGATTACACCATTAAATTCTACACACATTGAAGATTAGGAAATAAATTTCAAATTTTAAAAAAACTTGAAAAATAAGGTAAAAAAAGTAATGCATACAATTAATGGAAAAAATGAGTGGAAAAAAAATTAATAATCAAAAAGCATTTTATTGGAAAATGGACTTCACCATTCAATTCTACGCATTTTTTAACCTACGAAACAACTTTAAAAACTTAAAAAAAATTAAAATTAATGGCAAAAAAAATTAATTACAAACCGCGTTTAAACACAGATTCGCGTGTGCTGTGCCGCAGCAAAACCGTGTCAAACACGAAAACTGGGTTTTTTT